ATTTTGTAAAAGAACTTTCTTCATTTACTTTGTGTTGTAGTGTTACATTTCCAGATGAAAAATATGCACTTCATATTCAACGCTATGTTATCCCAGGTAAATTTATATTTACTGATTATATGAATCATATGGAGAAAAGGTTTTTCAGCTTGATTATTTCAGATCTGAAAACTGTGATTTTTTAATCAAAAATAACATTGAAAGCTGTAATTGCTGTATAAAGTACAGCTTAGCAAAAGTTAAAAATAGTAAAATTAAAAATTTAAGTGTGTCTGTGTGTGTTATATAAAACTTAAAGCACCTGTTTCTTGCACATCTTCTCACAAACTTAAGTTATTAATTCAAAACCAACGCCTTCATTGTAAGCAACTGCAAAATGATATTCAACAAATGTACAAAGCAATCGATAAATATTCTCATCCCATTGATTGTGAACTCAATAATGACTTACTAAAATTATTTAGCGGTTGTGACGAGAAGAAAATTCCTCCATTCATGAAACTTTTTTGGGAAGAACAACAAAAGTATATTAAAGCTTCTTCTCCAAGTTCTATTAGATATCATCCAATGATTGTTAAATTTTGTTTATCACTTGCATCTAAGTCTTCGTCAGCTTATAGCGATTTACGGTACAACAGTAGCAGCAATTCTGGTTTTTTAATCTTACCTAGTTTAAGAACATTAAGAGATTATAAAAATTATATTTATCCTCAGCGTGGTTTTAATAATAAAGTCATTGATGAATTGCATAAAAAAACTCAAGATTTTTGTGATTCTGAACGTTTCGTTATCTTATTGATGAAATGAAAGTGCAGGAAGATCTAGTATGGGATAAGCATACTGGTGAACTCATTGGTTATGTAGATCTTGGTGATATTTCTGTAAACTATTCTACGTTACAAAATGTATCTGAGCTTGCAACTCATGCCCTAGTGTTTTTGGTGAAAAGTGTTGTTAACCCATTATCACTGAGTTTTGCTACATTTGCTACAACTGGTGCAACAGCTTATCAAATTTTTCCAATATTTTGGAAAGCTGTGAATATTCTTGAAAATATCAATTTAAAAGTAATTGCAGCTACAGCTGATGGTGCATCATCTAATCGTAAGTTCTTTCGAATGCACAAACCCTTGGATGGAGGATCAAATAAATCAGTTGTTTATAAAACCGAAAATTTATTTAGTAACGAAAAACGATATATTTATTTTTTCTCTGATGTCCCACATTTAGTTAAAACAGCACGCAATTGTTTATCAAATTCAGGAGCTGGTTTACCGTTCACGTTATATGTGGAATAGTGTTTTTTTTTATTCTATGGCCACATATTACAAAACTTTATTATGAAGATCGGCAAAGTGGATTAAAAATGCTCAACAAATTGACATTTTATCATATCAATCTACCATCATATTCACAAATGAAAGTTTCTCTAGCTGCATAAGTTCTTAGTGAAACAGTTTCAACTGTTATGGAAACATTTGGAGATGCTGATTCAGCTGGTACTGCAAAGTTTATTTTAATGATGGACAAATTTTTCGATTGTTTAAATGTTAGAAATACAAAAGAGCACATTTTTAAAAAGAAACCTTTTTTGAAACCCTATGATTCTGTTGATGATCCTCGTTTTTTATGGCTTGATTCGTTTTTAGATTATTTTAATTTATGGAAACAATCCATTGAAGAAAGACCCGGACAATTTTCTGTCACTGACAAAAATAAAATGTTTATCTCTTTGCAAACTTATGAAGGACTTCAAATTACAGTTTTTTCATTTAAAGAAGTGTGTAAATTTTTGTTAGAAAACGGTGTACAGTTTGTCTTGTCTGAAAGATTTTGCCAAGATGATTTAGAAAATTATTTTGGTCATCAACGTGCTGTAGGTAGAAGACGCGACAACCCAAGTATACGTGATGTTGAATATAATGACAACAAAATTAAAACACATTTTTCTATCCGTCCAATTGCCGGAAATGTTTGTGAGAGTTCAAAAAATAAAAATACTATTGATGATGCTCCTTTGCCTAAGAGAAGAACAAATGAACAATAATTTTTTTGAATCTATAAAGAAAAACTATAATATAAATCATTGACTTTGAACTTTTGGAGTCGTGAGTTTGCGGGTAAGATTTTTTTTCAGATTATAAAATAATTTGTAAGAAGGATTTTTTTTTGTTTTTAAACATGATGAGATTAAAAATACATATATATTTTACTTTCAAAAAATTATATCTTTAATGAAGCTAACGTGTTTGAAAAATTGCTCCAAATATGTTTTACTTTTTACGTAGGAAAGCGCAGTGCCAAAGCTAATTAAAATTTAGATTTTTACGCCGATTCCCGTTTTAAAATTTAGATTTTTATCGCCGTTTACCCGTTCACAATGTTTCAACGATCCGAGATATTTTAATGAAATTTGAAACCTATCAATAAACTTCATAACTAACTTAAAATTAATTACAAAAAAAATAAACAAAATATCACGGGAGGCTGAATAAGTGCGAATCTCATCAGTGCGTACTAGCATAAGTGCGAACTGGAAAAAACGCGAATTGGTATAATTGCCCTAAATGAATTTGCAAACATTAGCATAAGTGCAAATTGGCATAAGGTTAAACTAGCACAAGCGCAATATAGTTGCAAAAACTCGAATTGGCATAAGTGCGCCGAAACAATTTGCAAAAATATTGGCATGAGTGCGAATCGTCAAATGATTTTACAAACATGGACATAAATGGAGATTGAAGAAGTTGCAAAAAGTTTGCACTAACGCCAGTTTTTGCAAACCAAATAATGCTTCCATAATTAAAAAAGCAGTGAATAATATATTTTAAATACTCATTTTGACGGTTACAACACTTTTCATATTGCAGTGCGATATAATTGAACCAGTCATTTCGAAAAAGACACAAATCTATCTATTAAATAATAAAAATGTATTACTTTTTGTGAGTTTTCATTATTATATATAAAAAAATAATAAACCAAATAGAAATTTTTAAACCAATTGTTTAAAGTTTTGGGTTTGTATACTTATTTAAATGACGGGTTCGTACTACTTTCTAGATTTATTTTTCACTACCGTAGGAATTAAAATTGTAATAACACAGTTTCGCGGAAAATTTCCTGCCTTTTTGGTAAAGAAATGGCTGCTTGCACTAAGTTTAACAGTTGTACTGAACTTAAGGAAATTTTTGCTGTAATTGACAGTGGTTTTCTTGATAATAATGAGGATTTTGATAGGGAGTTAGAAAGCTACGCAAATGAAATTACTATAGACGAAGCGGTAATCAAGGGCTACTCTTGCATTCACTGCAGTAAATTATGTAAATCTAGCCGAGGGCTGACCAGACATGTTAACTTTAAACACAGTTCTACTTCATTTACTACGTCTACAAATAGTGCTCAAATAAATACAAAGGACGACTTAAGAAAATTGAGCCCAGCCGATTTAAAAATTATCGTAAAAAATTGTTCTGAAAAAATAACGAAAAACTTGTGTTATCCAATAATTTTAAGACAAAAGTTTGAAGATTTTCAATTTTCCCCTAATGATGCAGAGAAGTTGTGGCATAAGTTAAGGGGAGTTTTTGAAAATTTTATAGGTGACCCTTAGAACTATTATTCAACATTTTTTGGGCTTATGTTGGAAAATCTCCTACCTAAACATTTTAAAGAACGTACTTTTACCAATACTCTAATGCAAGATGTGGCAAATGATATTTTAAATTATCTTACTGATAAAAATAAGTTCCAAAGTGAAAAAAGTGAGCAACCAAACCTGAGTATAAAGGATGCAGAAATTAAAAGTTTGCAATATTTAGCTGGTTTTATTATACACAAGCTATTCAAAAAAATCTAGTTCTTTATATAGTACTCAATGTTGTTCCTTACTTCAAGCTTGTAAAGTAGAACAAGACAATACACAAACACTTATTAATGCTCGCGATAGAGGTGGTTTATGGAGAGTGAATTCTAAAATTATTGATATATTTTTACAATGTGAACTATTATTTAGAAAAAAAACTTCAACATTTATTACAGTGCTTTCTGCAAATGATTTTGTAAGAGAAATTCTTACAAATATAATAGTTATATCTAACTTTAACGATGTTAGCATGTCAGCTGATACTCCTGTTACAAACGAAATTAAAACGAATGTGCTTGAGCAGATTATCACTTTGTTTCTACGAGTTCGCACTTTTTCATTTGCAAAAGATAAGCGTGAAAGACACAAAGTTGAAAGCAAAATTTCCAAAAAAAGATCACTGCGAACTGAAATGAAGAAACTTAGCTTCAGCAATAAACTTGTGTAAATTAAAGTACTTTAAAACTGCTATGTATCTAAAAAAAATTGTTTATGTTAAAAATTGTTATGTTTTTTATTTCTTATAAAATACTAATACTAATAAAAATAATTTTATAAAAATATTATCTTATAAGATTAACTAGAAGAAAAAAAATAAACAAATCTGTAATCAAAAAGTATGGCTTTTCAAAAAAAGTAAGCACGTGAACAATTGAAAAAATTTAAATTTACAAACCAGACACAAATAAAGAATAAAAAAAATCAACTGTATCAACTGTTATTTATAATATTTAAAGATTTGCAATATATTTTTCTTAGTATTACTATTCTTTTTATAAGTAATATATATATATATATATATATATATATATATATATATATATATATATATATATATATATATATATATATATATATATGTATATATATATATATATATATATATATATATATATATATATATATATATATATATATATATATATATATATATATATATATATATATATATATATATATATATATATATATATATATATGTAGGACTTTCGGTACCTAAATTCGGTTTTTTTTTGTTTTTGTTTTATCAGTAAGAGAAATACAGGGGAGGATAGGGGGGGAAGCGGATTGTAAACAAAAAATTACTACTACATTGTATTACTTTAATTCTTAATATTAGATTAAAATTCAAATGAAAACGGTAAAGTTATGGAAAAGAAAACTTTAAAAAGTAAGTTAATATGTTTTTCATGATAATAATAACTTTTTTAAAAAACAAAATAATGATAAATTTAAAAACCTTAATCTTTGTTTACATGGCATGTAAACAAAGATTAAGGTTTTTTAAACTATATATACCAATGATGGTAATATATACCAATGATGGTATATTAAAAAAGATTAAGATTTAAGATTAAACTGTTACTTTGGAATATTTTATTAACTATTAGTATCAGATACCAATGTTGTTAATACACCATATATATAAAAATATACAAACAACATTATTATACTTTAAAGTAAAACATTATTGGCCTAAGCCAATAACGTTTTTGACAAAATATTTTTATAATAATAAGCTTATTTTTGTAAAAATATCAAGATACTTTTACAAGTTTATTCTTATATCTTGTTAGTGTCTTTCTAATATACAGTAATATAATTTTAAAATACAGTAATATTATTTGTTTTTATTTTTTTTTTCAGTCCTTTTTCTTGTTAGTAAAGTTGTTATACGTAAAGCAGAACTAATTTAATAACTTATTTTTATTGACTGTTGACAATTTCAAGATCTTTTTTTTTTTGATTAAACAATTTTTTTGTTATCATTATTCCAATAAGCACAGACTACAGCTGGTAAGTTATTATAGCATAACTTTTATTAACCATTAAAGAAATATTAATAAATATATGTATTTCCTACTTATTTAATTACTTGTTGTGTATGGATTTCCCATTTGCTGCAATTTTTTAATTTTAGTATCTACCTTTTGTGTTACACTTGGTAAGTTAAACAACTTTTTAATGTGAAATTAAAAAGTTGTTTAACTTTATTTCCTTTACAATATGTTTAACTTTATTTCCTTAGTCATGTGCTGCAACTAGTAATTTAAAAAACTATTACATTTTATGTGTATGCATTTCTCGTTATTTAAAATATTGATTTTTTGTTACAACATTGTAATTTTAGTATCTACCTTTTGTGCTACACCTAAACAACTCTTTTTGATGTGCACAAATTTCTCATTGATTGCAATATTGATTTTTATATATTTTTTACCTTTAGTTCTTTATACGTGTGGCTACGCCTGGTAAGTTTCAAAACCTTTTTTCTTTTAACATGTGTATGCATTTCTTATTAATTGCATATTCTTTTTTGCAATTGCATTTCTTATTAACTGGTTTTTAATTTAAACCATTTTTATATAAAAATTATTACTTTTTAGACTATGAATGCATTTATTACCATTTGCAATTTGTATTTTTTATTAAAACAAATTTTACTTTTAGTTCCATTTAGTACCACCTTTAAACGGTAAATTTATAAATCTAGAATTTCTCTGATTTTTTACTGAGTTCCTCTTATTCCTATTTATATAATCTATTTAATACTTTTGTGTTTTGTTATCTTTCCAAGTGCTATAAAAGGAGAATCAGAAGCTTATATGTGTTTGAGTTTTTATTCTGATTAACTTTTATTAAAAATTTCATTGATTCATTAATCATTCTTTATATATATTCAGACAAACTGTCTTGGTAAGTATTTATTTTAACTTTTTTAATTTTTCATTACATGAATTAAAAATACATTAATATTTTATTTGTTTTTAGAGCTTACATATGAAGCTTATAGGTCATTTCGATCTTAAAACTAAAATCATTTACTAAAAGCCAAGACACAGAGGTAATTACTATGTTTTAAAACATTTTATTATTATTTTTTTCATTAGGTTGGTGGGTTAAATATGATCATTTAAATGAGAAAATGTATACTAGTGCAACTTGTAATCTGGTAAAACAATTATGTTTTGTGCTTTATCTTTTTTAATAATTGCATGTGAAAATGTTGAAAATGTCTTTTCTATGTGTTTTCTTTTTTATGTTGGTTGAGAGGAAGGGGGAAAACTATCCCTCTCCTCAAATTGTACATCACTAATGTATGTTCTATAGTAAAAAAAATATTGCTTTATGTAATACAACAATATTTTCAATACCAATGTATGTTGTATAGTTATAAAAGATTATTTTTTGTCACGTGGGGGGAGGGGGGAGGGGTGCATCATACTTCCTGTTAAGTTTTTATGACACCATCTTTAAGTTGTAGTTATATCGGCACCGTATTTTTATGTGCCGTATATTCTTTATGTTTTTAGTTTCAGCCACGAGGCTATGTTTTTATGTATTTTTTAAGAATATTTATAAACACTAATATCAACTTTTATTTCCTCCATCATGAGTGAACACAAAATATTAACAGGTTATGGTCCCAGCAACCAGTGGCAAAATCTTATTTTCGATGGAGATAGTAGGAAATTCGAAATATGGGAAACGAAACTCCTTGGATATATGAAGTTAAAAAATTTAAAAGATACTTTAATTGGAAATAGCGAAATTGACGAAGACGAAAATGAAATAGCGTTTGCTGAACTTATACAATTTCTGGATGAAAGATCCATAGCTTTAATTATAAGAGACGCTAAAGATAAAGGTAGGGAAGCCTTTAAAATTCTAAAAGATCATTACGCTAGTACAAGTAAACCTCGTATTATTACCTTATATAACCAATTAACAAGTTTAAAAAAATTTACCAACGAGTCTATAACAGATTATGTTATTAGAGCAGAGAAATCAGCCACTTCATTAAATACAGCTGGCGAAAGTATTAGCGATTCATTACTTATTGCTATGGTACTTAAAGGATTACCTGACGATTATAGAGCTTTTGTAGCTATAATTACCCAATCTGAAACAAGTAATAATTTCCAAAAATTTAAGCAGGCTTTACGAAGTTTTGAGGAAACAGAATACACAAGAACAACTTATATTGAACATTCAGATACCAAAATAATGAAATTCAAAACTAGTGGGGGTAATATAAAGAAAGTTTTGACTTGTTACACTTGTGGAACTATTGGTCACAAATCTTCTGAATGTCAAGCAAAAACTAAACCAAAGATATGGTGTAATTACTGTAGATCAAATACCCACAAAGACAGTTCTTGCAGAAAACAAATAAAAGATAAAGCTAAAGCTGTTAATAATATACAAAAACACACGTATGCATTTAAAATAAACGAAGAACAATATAGGGAAACGCAAAATAAAACATTTCTGGTAGACTGTGGGGCAACTACCCATATTGTAAATACTGATGAATACTTCACTTATATTGATGAATATTTTAAACCAGAAGAACACTTTATAGAGTTAGCTGATGGCACCAGGACAAACAATATAGCTAAAAAGAGAGGAACAGTTAAAACCCTTTTACGTACAAAAAATGATGAACTAGTAACTATCACTCTTGAAAACACTTTATATATCCCAACCTACCCACAATGCATTTTTTCTGTTCAAGCAGCTACGGCTAAAGGCGCCAGAATCAACTTCCATAAATATAGTGCTGAACTTATATCTAAAGAGGGAACTGTGTTTCCTATCCGACAATATGGTCGTTTGTATTATTTTTACAAAAACTCAATAAATGAAACACGAACTGAAAGTTTAGAAATGTGGCACAAAATAATGGGACATTGCAATACCAATGATATTATAAAATTAGAAGATGTAGCTCAAGGAATGAAAATCAACAATATTGCTAAATTTGATTGTGAAACATGTATTCTATCTAAAAATGTTAACACTTGTAACCAACAACCTGACACAAGGGCAACTTACCCATTCCAACTTGTACATACTGATTTAGCCGGACCTATAGAACCTGTAGCTATAGGTGGATTTAAGTATGTTATAAACTTTGTTGATGATTACTCAAGTTGTTTGTTTACATATTTCCTGCAACAAAAAAGTGATGCTGCAAAAGCTGCTGAAAAATTTCTAGCAGATATTGCTCCATATGGGAAGGTTAAAACATTTAGTTTTTATAATGATATTTCCCCATCTGGTAATGTAAAATGTATTCGCAGTGATAACGGAGGTGAATATTTATCAAAAGAATTTAATGAATTACTTCTAAAACATACCATTAAACATGAATTTACATCACCTTATTCCCCACACCAAAATGGAACCGCAGAAAGGAATTGGCGTTCATTATTTGACATGGCAAGAGCCATGATTATTGAATCAAAACTTCCAAAGCATTTATGGACTTATGCAGTTAGCACAGCAACATATATAAGAAATCGATGCTATGTACAACGAATTAAAAGTACACCATATGGATTAGTAACTGGTTTAAAGCCAAACATTTCCAGATTACACTTATTTGGATCAGTATGTTACCCATATGTACATAATACCAAAAAATTACAACCACGAAGCATTAAAGGTTATTTTGTTGGATATGACAAAGACAGTCCATCATACCTAGTTTATTATCCAGAATCAAATTCAGTTTTAAAACACAGACTTGTAAAATTTACAGAAAAATATGAATCTGTTAGCCAAATAGATACCTACAATACAGATGAATTTATAAATGTTGAACCAAAAACTACAAAATCTACAACTGAGCCATCCACTCCCAATAATAAACAAAATATACCTCAAGAAATTCCCTCATCACGTTACCCTCAAAGACAAAGACAACCCCCAAAATATTTGGAAGATTACATAGTTGATAATAATAATGATGATGAAATTAACTATATAGATTATTGTTATTTGATGAATATACCTACGTCATACACTAATGCTATCAACACCGATGAGTCAGATAAATGGAAAAATGCCATGGATGAAGAAATCCAATCATTAACGAATAATGACACCTTTATTATTACTGAACTCCCAACAAATAAAAAAGTAGTTGGGGGAAGATGGATCTATACAATTAAAGGGAACAATAATAAAATTATATACAAAGCCAGATATGTTGCAAAGGGGTACAACCAAATTCAAGGAATTGATTATTTAGAAACTTTTTCACCCACAGCTAGAATGGAATCAGTCCGAATTTTAATGCAAATATCTGCCCAATATAACCTCATTTTACATCAAATGGATGTTAAAAGTGCTTATCTACATGCACCTATAGAACATGAAATTTATGTCAACCAACCTCCTGGGTATGAAAAAACCCACAATAACAAACAATTAGTATGGAAATTAAATAAATCACTTTATGGTTTAAAACAAAGTGGTAGAAATTGGCAGAATGTTTTAAGTGACTTTCTCAAGGAAATACAATTTATTCAATCAAATGCTGATAATTGCGTTTTTGTTAGAAGAAGCAATACTGAAGTAGCAATGATTCTAGTATGGGTTGATGACATAATTATAGCTGCCAACTCAAACGAACTATTAATTAAAATTAAGAAGAAATTAAGTAAACGATTTAAAATGAAAGATTTGGGACCATTAACTTCATTTCTTGGTATTCAATTCAAATCAACTAGTAATTGTGTCACTATGAATCAATCAGATTACTTGCAGAATGTTCTACAAAAATTCGGTTTTGACAATTGCAAACCAAGATCTACCCCATGTGAGCAAGTTCCTTATTCATACCATAATCAAGAATCTATAAAATCGAATGATTCAGAGATAAAGTTATACCGACAAATGGTTGGAAGTCTTCTTTACGCAATGACATGTACAAGACCAGATTTAAGCTATGTTATTACCAAATTATCTCAGCATCTATCAAAACCAAATAGTGGTGATTGGATTATGATTAAACATGTATTTCGATATATTAAACATACTCTAAACTATTGTTTAACTTTTCGAAAGACTGATGAGTTAAAGCTTTATGCTTTCTGTGATGCAGATTGGGCTTCATCTTTAGAAGATCGACATAGTATATCAGGTTACTGTTTTTCTCTGTGTACAGATGGACCAGTCGTTAGTTGGAAATCAATGAAACAATCGAGTGTTGCACTGTCCACCTGTGAAGCAGAATATATGTCGATATCTGCAGCTTGCCAAGAAATTAGTTATTTAGCAAAACTATTACGAGAATTATTAGAAGTAAAAATCGAACCAGTAACCCTTAGAAACGATAACCAAGGAGCCATTGCATTAGCGAAAAATCCTATAAAACATATGAAATCTAAACATATAGACATACGTTATCATTTTATACGAGAATATCATCAACAAGGTCGTATACTATTAGAGTATATACAATCAAATGAAAATTATGCTGATATTTTTACTAAACCAGCAAAGAAAGATTCATTACAAAAGTTTAAAGATTTTTTATTTGGACTTTAAAATAATATGTTGTCAAGTTGGGGTGTTAAGTTTTTATGACACCATCTTTAAGTTGTAGTTATATCGGCACCGTATTTTTATGTGCCGTATATTCTTTATGTTTTTAGTTTCAGCCACGAGGCTATGTTTTTATGTATTTTTTAAGAATATTTATAAACACTAATATCGACTTTTATTTCCTCAATCATGAGTGAACACAAAATATTAACACTTCCTTCATTTCAAGTCAATGTATGCGTCAATAATATATGTTGAATAGTAATAAAAGATTTTTTTTAATTTTTAACAATGCATTTAATTATTGTAATAAAGAAAAAATTATTTTTATTTTTTAGTCGGGGGGGGGGGGGCGGTGCGACATACACCCTCCCCTAAAGTTAGTGTTGTATATCACTAATGTATGTTTTATAGTAAAAAAAAATATTTTTACTTTTTAACAAAATATTAAATTACTGTAAAAAAGATTAAATTATTTATTAGAAAGTATGATTATTGTATTTAGGGTGTTATAACATCACAACCACATCTATGGTCAACTCTAAGATCACCTTATTTTGTTTGGCAGTGTTTTGGAATCAAGTTATGGCAATATTTTGTGTATAAAATATAACAATTACATTTAAAAAGTGCTTATTTCTGACAAAAACTTGTATTTTCTTAAGAGTTAGATGGTGTTTCATTACCTCCTCTGGCTCCCAAGATACACCCTACATCCAGGCACCAAACTTGTAGCCCATTAGTGCACCTATCTTGTGATACCAAGATATAGGTATTTGGATAAAAATTGACAAAGTTATAACAATTTAAGTGAAAAAAATAATTATTTTGACCACAGTTTCTTCAACAATTCCAAATATCTAAAATTTGTTACTAAAAATGTAATAACTTTTTTTAAAATTGTTCGTTTTTAATAATTTTTTCACCTTTAAAATACTGTATTAAAGGCCTTTCTAATGATATATAACATTCTACTATATAATCAATATAAAAATTTCAGTGCACGTACCTAATATTACCTTATTTATAACTACTTTAGCAATGTAAAATAGATTTTTGAAACATAATAATCATTTCTTAACAGATTAGAAAAATAATTTATATAAAAATTCTTTAAAAGCTATTTAAATTAAATCTCAAAACCAATCTTCAGTTTAAACTCCTAATGAGAGTAATGTTAAATAAAGTTTTGTTTATCTTTCTGTGCACCTTCAGCGGGTCGTTGATACGAGTTTCAACATAAGACG